TGGTTGGAGATGAGCTGCTGGACATTTGGCTGTAGGAGGCCCTTAAAGAACAATCATAAGGTAACAGTCTCGTCTTGTACAATAATATTACACCAAATCTGAAAACCTTGCTGTTGTCAGACAATAATTTTGGCAGAACGAGTTAAGATTTTTAGTCTTCCAGTGAAGCATTTGACTTTTAACATTTGTTCTTGTTCATTTTTTTTCCAAACTAAAAAAAGAACATGTTCTGAAACAATGAATAACAACACAGCTTAAATTTCTACTTTATGATCCTGATTTTTGTGTGTWTGTGATACACAGATAATGTTTAAACTGAATATTTCACTTTTTATTTGTGTCTTTTATTAACTGAAGGGGAAATTACTATACAGTTTCAAATGAATCACTTTAAAAAAAGGTAGGTTATAAAAATGTACGAAGTTTATTTATTTATTTATTGTTCTTGTTTGTTGAGGGTCTTGAGCAAGTTTTAATTTATTTATTTTCACCGAAAACTATTACAAAAAGTACAAATAATCCTACATTATTAATATCAAAAAGAAAAAATAAGTCGGTCCTCTGGATGGGTTCTTCTTTAGTGAAACGTTTCGTCTCTCATCCAAGAGACTTCTTCAKTCTGATGAGTTTCAGGTGAACTCAGCCTTATAAGCACTGCCTCCACATACATGGTGAACAAACAGGTTAGTCACGTGCAAAAGAGGGCCATCGCCTAACAATAGGCTTGATTAGCTCTATTGTTCATAGAGGGTCATGTGCCCCATCCCCTGACTTATTGGTTTGGATGCTTCRGCTGTGGTTATTTGGTGTCGTGCTATGTGTGTGTAGTGAGTGCAAGCGGGATTTAACGTCCTCTTGTTTTTGTCTCTCTTTCCCTCTTTTTGTTGGGTATCATTGGAGCCCTGATTCACACCTTTTGCTCACAGGGGGCGGAGTCATACTTGTAATAACAGTATTGTAGGAGGAGGACAACTGGACACGAAGRCCTCCACCTCTGTTTATTGGTGGATGGTTTTCTTCACAAAGATGGCTTCCTTTACTCCTCTCTCAAACTAGCCTTCCTCTCTATCAAGGATGAGAACATCTTCATCCCTGAAAGAGTGACCGCTGGCCTGTAGATGAGTGTAAACTGCAGRGTCCTGACCTGATGATGTAGCTCGTCTGTGCTGGCTCATTYTTTTGGACAGTGGCTGTTTTGTTTCCRCAATGTATAACAAAACAAACAAACACCTGAGATGAGAGCGGCAAGAGCAAGCTTCCAAATGAATTTGTCTCACATAATCTGCAGCACTCATTTACAGCCATCTCGTTCAGCTTGATRCTTCTCTYTTTCCAGTAGGRGATGGTTGTTTACAGCGCACAMAATTTCCGGTTAGCTCCTTAGCTTAGCTTTCTTCATGGAYSAGCTGGACACTWCATACATCACAGCCAAACRTTAGCAACTGGATAAAATCAKATCCGATCATTTTAAACTTCYACATAGTCCATGCCACCAGCAAGCAATAGTTTCKCAATAGCCGAGGTTCCAGACCCTTGYACRAAGCAAAGCAAAGAGCAAAAGGCTGGTTTTTACYAGGCTACACAAAAACAAGGTACAATCTTCCTCAAATATTAACTGCACTTAAAACAGACAAATACCATTCACACATCAGACAGCCACACCAAAAATTAAATAGATCAAGCTTGGTATCAAATTAAACAACAACAACAAAAACATCTTAAGAATGCAAAAAATGGAATGAAACATTGGAAAGTATCTGTTTTACRTTAAAAGGCTGGAGCACAGCTGCAGTAACCTTGGCAACCAAAGGGTACCTCGTCCATTGCAGGGCAAACTTGATGCTCCTTTGCATTTTTTCAGGCTGCTGTCCACAGACAATGAGCAACTCAGAGGATGCTCACACTTCTTCCCCGTCCAACCGTCTTTGCAGTCACACCTTCCGCAATTACACTGGCCATGACCTGCCAAGAGAGAGACAGAGAGAGTTGGAGGATGCTCAGAGTGAAACAAAGAGGTGGATTTAACCAATCAAAAATTAAATCATTGTTTTCAGGACAAGGAAAAAAACACACCACGTGAGATAGATTGGTCATAGAACTGAAGAGGTGACAGATGAGTTGGCAAAGGAAATTGTTCAGCTTAATGAAAACCTAGTTTACTGTGTTTATGAATTATTTTAAAAAGTGAGAATTAAAGTTAAAATATTGTAGTTTTAGAAAACAGGTTAGATAGAAAGCTATCTAAACTGTTTCTTTTTTAAAGCAACGACAAAGTTTTTTTTTCTTCAAGAAGGAAGCTTGAATGCACTGAAATGGAGTAAAATGCAAATCACTTTTTATTATAAAAAACAACAACAACAAAATGCAGCATTCTGACCTGAGCAGAAATCATCTGTGTATCGGTCGTAGGTGGCATGGCAGTTCCTCTCGTCACACTCACAGGTATCTCCATGAATGTCTCCCCAGTCACCAGAGGGATCCACATCATAGCAGGTACACTCCCCACAAACACAGGTCCCTGATGACAATAGGGACAACAACCACACAACATACTTTAGGTTATATCAAGTTTTGTGGAATTTATTGCCACAAGGCAACATGCCTTTATTTGTAAGTTTCTAGTCTTTAAGAAAATGGAAAATGAATAAATAAATAAACATTTTCTTTTCCATCAGAAATCTGAACATTGTTTTAGTTGTTTATATACTGGATTGATATTATATTTTTTATTTTTCATGAAATATATGATTTGTTCAAACATCCCACATAGCAAAATGTGTCTGGCCCTGTTTTGGCCCACACAATGCATAATCACCTGACCCATACTGCAAAAACATGACAGTTCTTTGGTGGTCCAAAGCCTGTTTGCCAGTTGTGGGCCATGTGTGTCCCAGCATCAAGCCAGATGCAGATGCATAGTTGGTCCAGTGCTGGCCCAGAACAGTTTTTAGCATTGGCATCAGATGTCATCCTAACTAATACTCAGCCAAGATATCACAATAAATAAGACAGTTCTTTGGTGGCCCAGATTTAGTTTGCTAGAGACAAGCCATGCATGGGCCGGTGCCATTTACACATGCTGTCATGTGATGCTAACAGCAGATGACAGCAGCACTTACCACCAAGCTACTGCAGCCCAGAGTAATGATCAGCGAGTTATACAAATGGAAATTGTTCTTTAATCATTTTTTTCCTAAAACAGAAACAATAAACCAGTGAAACTGAAGATACAAAATACTCAAGCTTAATTTAAATTATTGTCTAAAGCTTCTTCCAAATGTGATATTTTTCTTTATCTTACGCTCAAGCACAAGCTGCAGCATGATTTTTAATACTGTCTTCCTCTGGTTTCATTTTCCTTTCTTCATCAATCTCCTTTGCGCCTCTTTCTAAGTCTCTGACTGCAGGGATCAGCTGCAGAGGAACCACTGGAAATCCCATTTTCTCTTATCGGGGGAGACAGAGCACAGGGAACCCCCCCGGGTAGCCGGCCAGCTGGCAGAGCCTGTGGGCTGTGGCTGACTCATGTCAGGCCCGTGGCGGTGCATTCACCACATTATACTGTATAACTCCAGAGTCCTGGATTAATAAACCTATTTATTTCTGTCTAACGCAAAAATCACAACTGAACTTTAACTGAACCATTTGATGCTCTTTGTAATGTTCATAGTTATCAACACAAAGACAAGAAAGAAAACACTTACCCATGTCTTTGTGTTGATAACTAAACTGTAATCTTAGCTAAACTGATGCAGTACAAGCATGCACAGTAGATCTGCACAAGCATCCTGCACCTTCCTGTTTGTTGACCAATAGGAGAGGAGCTGACCCAAGAAGGACCGCCCATCTTATTTGTATAACGAGGAACAAATTCATAAAGTAATGTAAATACAGGAGACAGAGAGATATAAAAACAATACATGGAAATAAAAAGGCTTGTTGGAAATTTTATTTTAAAATGTTGAAAATAATCATTTAGGACACACAAATACATTACAAGTAAAAGGAAAAATTTAAAAATATATATTTTAAAAAACAGTCAAATGTAAATTATGTTGTAGAATATACTTTGTTTAAAACTAAGCTGGAATAATATTTGGTCAATTAAATTACAAAACATTTGAAGCATGTGAAGTGTATTTATTTATTTATTGGTCAATTTATATATTTTCACTTTTATTTCTAATTATGTCAGTTTTTGTCCCCCACAGTACCACAAATTTGTAGAGGCAAATAT